CTTTTTGGCTGAAAGAAAAGCGGAAGATAAGAAGGCGAGAGACTGATGAATTACATTTCGGATAAAAAAAGGCTCAATACACACATGGTTAAACACATTTATACACACAAGATTAAAAGAATTGATTAAATTTTTGATCTTTTCCGCTGAATCAGTTTCCATCGAGAGTTTAAACCGGATCAGAATGGAGCCAATCAACTATAATCGAACAGGGGAATGCTCGACTGTTGGTTGGTTCTTACATTCTGATTCGGTGGAAACTAGATCATTGAGGTAGTTCCATATTGATTGCGTTCAGCAGATTCATCATTAAATGAGCGATCGTTGCTACTGATGTATCCTTCCAAATCTAAAATTTTGATTGAATGATTAAAAAGGATACACCAATAACAACGAATGCTCATTCATTGTTGAATTCGCTGAATGCGATTCATTTGCTTGGTAAGCAGGCTAGCCGCTTTGTCGATTTAAAGAGCCGGCCATTAATTTTAAATCCAACGAGATTGTTCGTTGTTGGTTATATAACTCTAGTTTTGTATATTAATTTAAGGGAAAACTATACAAGATTGCCATGACCATGGAAATTGCTCTACGGCAATTACACAAAAAATGTTTACTTCAAAAAATAACGAAATGAGACTAGAAATGAAAAAAGTGTAAGTGTTTATTCTTAAATATTTTTTTTATACATGAAGTCATTCATCGTCGTGAGTTCAGTCATACGATTTCGCGTATGTTGCGAATGTAACATGTATCCAGTGATCGAGTAGTTATTTGAATAGGTAAATTCACATAGAAAAGGAATTTGATTTCAAGCACGATTATTTTATCTTCGTTCACCGAATATATTAACAAAAAATAAAATGATACATTATATGCGCGAAACATCTAAGAATTTCATAATTGTACGTTTTTCTCTTGTTGTGAAAACGAAAGAAAGCGCATGACTAACAAAATCCTATGAACTAGTATTTGGTTTGATCACTTGCTTCAAGCGTTTATAATCATCGTTATTATAACACAACCTAAGGCCTGTTTTTACAATATATGTGGTTACCTCCCGTGTAACACAGATCTCCAAAGGAGATCGTTCCCAAAAAGATCTTTTGAAGAAAGTGCGCTGGGAACTGAAGGTTCTGTGTATGTGTATATGTGTGCGTCAAAACATCTATTAATGAAATTCATTCATGAATCTCATGGTAACTTTTGAATCTTTAGGTGACCATATGTTGAATCTGACCTATGTGTTCTTTTTACTTGAGCTTCTTATTTCTATTTCTCAACGCTCGGTTTATATGTACTATGATGAATTCGTACACGAGAAAAAAGATTAGAAGTATTAGCCATAAATATGATTAATTCAATCATATTACATATTTAATATAGTGTTGCTCGCCTCGGCTCTCATTCTGGCCTCCTGATTTAAACCCAGATTTAAATCCTTGGACTACTATGGAGCGTAGTTGAAAAGTCACAGACAAATCTCGGCATCCCAATGTGACGTCATTAAGGACCGCTATTGAGGCAGCATTCGTATGGCATGGACAGCGCTACATTAGCGTGCGTGCGAACATTTCCGAGAATAGAGGCCGTCATTCAAGCTAATGGGAGATATAATAATTGTGCTCTACAGGGATCCCTCCCCAAGTGCCATGTAAAAGAATTTTTTGTAATATTTAATTTTTCATTCAAAACATTTTGTTTAAAGAAATTGTTCAATTTGTCCGGATTTTGGTGACGCACTTTGTACATAACGAATTAAATTATATCCAATATGAAACTAGCATACAATAAAAATGTAGAATGAAATTACGTAAAATCACACAGTTTTATAATCGATTTTCATACGTATTACATGCATTGACGTTAAAGCAACTCATGGGGAACGGAATATTTTATTTCGGTTTATTACAGGAAATTGTGCAATCCTTTATGTCATTCTTCTGCGTATTAAAGCGTTTCTATATCTGTTTGGAAAATTCAAAAGTTAAAACGCAAAAGTTAATGTGATATATCATTACATCACATTGACAAATGATGACATGATCTACTAGTAGGAATGAATTATCCTATTTATACTCCCACTAATTATCCCATTTAGATACGTACTAAGACGCAGATATATACTAAGGCGTAGTTAAGCATTCTGCAGTATCTATATAATAAATTTTCCATCAGTTCTCAAGAGAAAATCTTTTTCATCGATTTTAATGGATTTTCGATATATTATAAAATATGCGTATAAGTTTTTTTTTAAATCATTTTCAGAAGGTTTTTCGAAAGTAGATAAAATCTTGCGAATTAATGTTGCGCATAATGTTTATTACGAAATAAATTGATTTTATATTTTCGATAGCCAAGGGATTTACGTGTACAAAAGGATAGTACTTCATATTTATATTAATTGAACTTAAAGAAAAAATGTTTCGTGTATGTATACACAAAAATGTTTTTTATTAATTTTATTAATTTTTATTAATTAAAAATTTTTTGTTAACACATATGTGAGACTATTTTTATGCTAACAAAAGACGTATTATTGTGCTTAATGTGTCGGTTAGAAAATCTAGTGAGACAGCAGATCACTGATACCACAGGAATCAAAAAGACCAACGAGTCATCGAATATTTATAGGTGGATCGTATGTTGCACATCACTGTACAGGACAAAAAATATTAGATCATTTTTTTACTTGTTTATTTTAAAATTTAAGGATCAAAATAATCTTTGGGAATAAGAGTAAATTAAAATATTTAACATTTTTAAAAAAACATAAATATCATTAAGAGAATAAAGTAATTTAAAACTTTGTATAAAATATTTTTTTACTCCTCCATAATTTCGAAAATATTCATTGAAAATGTTTTGACCTGTAAATATTGAGCAGGTAAAAAAATATTTTTTAGCTCTACATGTGCAAAACCCATTCAAATTGATGAATGAGTTTCGACAGTTCCTTTTTCAGAAAAAAATCTCTTGGAATGACATATACTGAAAGCTCTCTGATATATTTATCAAATAAATGTTCGTACAATTTAATAATTGACAATTAAAACAATTCAATGAACTTGTATTTATTGTATTTATTGTAAAACATACAATGGTAACCACTCACACATTAATTTTATTTACACAGGATGA